AAAAAACGGTTTTCCTCAAGTATTTAAAAATTTTCGGATTTATCTGAACGATGTATCTAGATAAATTTTTAGATATCGAATAAAATCGTTTTCTTTGTGTAAAAATCCAATGACGGGGAAACTAACGTACCCTCGTCCGCCGATTTAATTGAAAGTGAACGAACCGCAGCCGGTTCGTCGCGTCGCGCGTTTGCTTCGGGAGTGTCGCTAAAGTTATCGGACTAATGGACTTTTGACAAAACCCATTCGAATTTATATTCTAGTTCGACAATGGAATCATATCTTCGATATTGCGACAGGAAAGCGGAACTCTCTTTGGGACATTGTTGAGGTGGTCACGGTCACTGCAACGCTCTCACGCCAAGAGTGCTCCGGACACGAGGTGATGCTAGCCGCGTAATGTTACGCACTTCACAGTGCGTGTTCGCGCGGTTTAGCAATTATTGTTGCTGTCGGCTAATTGAGGACACGCTCTGTTTGTCGGCAAACGATTCGGCCCTTAGCAGTAAGAAGTGATCGATTGACTCGGATTCGTCTCTGGGCCTGTATTCTGTAACTCGGGTTACAATCATTATGAGCACATAACGATTGCACAACGAGTTACAGATTATTCCGCCCTGATGGATCGCTCAAAAAGGAATTGTATAACTCTAGTCAGGACACTCATTTCTTTGCGTTTATCTATCAACATCTGAATGATTCTCGCGTTTAATAACGACTTGGTCAGAGCCTAGCTCAAGTAGGTTTTTTTAAAAACTAGCTCGTGACTAGGGGTTGGAACCCATTTCTTGAATTGTCTAGATTGTTAGACAATCGGCAACGGTACCAACTTTTCTTTTATTAGAGGCGCTTGTCACATCTACCAGCCTCTTCGAATCGCTCGTGGTACAGCACCACTTGTGTCTCACTAAAACTAGTGGTTAGGGCATATGACTGAGTAATGTTAAACGTGATGTAGGCGTAAACCAGAGGTGACGAATTCGATATGATCGATTTTGTCTTCTTTCGTGTGGAACTTAATTCTTGTTCGGCATTCATCGTGTGTTTTGCAAGTACTCATCGACGTGTGATGTTGATTCCACTGATCGAAATAGCAATATTATCATGGGTTTTGTAAACGTGGAGTGCCGTAGTATCGCGCGAAAAGACTTTTATAAATGAATAGTCCGCGCGCGTTTATAGTGTATTACGCGAGTGTTTTACGCGAGTGTCCTGTGCGAGAGGATGTCAACCCGATTCTGAGAGGAGGAGGAGGTCTGGGAGAGGCATCGGGCACCGGCGGAGCAACTTTGCGGTAAATATTTTTTGCTCATGTAAAATTAATATTTCTTTCTTCTATTTATTTTTGAGTTTTATTTTACAATGATTTAAAAATCATAATTAGAAAAAGAATTATTTTAAAATTATTTTGTAATTTCATATATACGAATTATTAATATTTGTTTCAAAAATGTATAATTATTTTATAAATGTCTAACTCAATAATGAATTAAAAAATTTTATGCTTATAAAAATTATTTTGAAAATTACAGAATCATTGTAGCGTCGTTGCAGATGTAACTCCGTTGTTGCGCGTCGGGTTGGTGAGTGATGAATTAATGTTTTTATTGAGGTAACGAATGTGTGATAATTATTAATATTTATATATCTATAAATGCATATATGCATTTTTTTAATTTAATAAAAATATACGGATAAATATTTGTATAGCATTCCATACATCCGTTGTCTTAAAATGGATAAATTAGAACAGATTAGGATAAACTTAATCCTAGATGCCTTCTTATGAATACATTGTGAATGCACTGTTAAATTTATAGTGTTATACCCAGTTTGAGTTATTTCTAATTATTTCTATATGTCGCCACTGCTTTTGCACAATATCTCGTTAATTTAACTATAAGATTAAAGTAAAAGTATTTAACTTAGAAAGATTACTCAATTTAGCTCAAATTTTTGTTACTGCAAATTTACGTTAATGTGAACGTTTTGATAAGTAACTCAAGCTCGGTTTGATAATTCAAACTTAGAAATATAATGAAAAAATAGGTATCGATGATCGTGTTTTATATAATATTAAAATAACTCGGAAAAATATTTTATATAATTAAAAGTAATTTATAAAATTGTATTAAATTATACAATTTTATAAATTACAAAAACAATTGTATAAAATAATGTATAATTTTATATAATTATATATAAAATATTTTTTCCTGGGAATGCATCTTGGAAATAAAAATAAAAAAGAATAAAATATTCGTTTTTGAAATATATAAAATTAAAAAATATAAAGTTTATATAAAATAATAATTAGAATGAATGAAATTGAAATTTATACGAATATCATAGCACGAAAAAGCATTTGTTACAGTGTAAACAAACAAATATGTTTTATTAATTTTCCTATCTTTCCTATTCCTAAATATTTATTCAGGATTAAGTTTTATACAAGTTGGTGCAAAAAAGCAATATCACATACATATACTATATATCCTATATATATAATGTGTATTGTTTTTTAAAAAATTCTTTCTATTGTTTTACACTTATTTGTATACATGTTATTGATGAAATAATAACAACAAAAAATTTTATGTAACACATATAATTTATTGATCTCGCTTTTTTATAAAAAACATTTTACGGTTATTAATTATTATTGTTTATTTCAATGCACTGACTTTAGCCTGATCTTTTATAATTTATCCATATATAGTAACTGGATTTTATAGTTAAAGTAGTAACATGATGTAAGATCCAAAATGTAAATACATTTTACTAAGAAATAGAAGAATTTTATCTCATAATTATTTTAAAATCGCGTTCAGAGTTTGTGTAACTTAGAATACTTAATATTAAAATAATAAATTATACAACAATGATTCTAATAATTTATAAAATACAAAGAGATATATTTATTGATGCAAGGGAAAATTATTCCTTTTATATCTTTCATATGATCTTACATCATTCATCTGAATTTCTCATCTTCGCATGCTTTGAGATGAGATTCAGCAACGAATCGTTCGAATCGTTAAAAATACGTATATGGGCCTTGAATTTTATCGGATGATAATCGATTTAATCATTTTCAGTTCATTTTTAAATTAAAGTTTTTAAATTTAATAGAACTTTAATTTATATTGTAATGTTTATATTAAGAAATTTAATCTATAAGTTTTATAATATTCGAAACTTTTAAAAACGTTGACGACTTAAAACTTTTTTTTATTTAGATTTATTTTTAGTCTTAATATTTATATTTTTTAAATAAACGTGAATAGAGAATAAATGCAACGTTTATTTATAATATTAATAGAAGTATTATTATTACTATTATTGATAATTATTCATATTAATATCTATAAGTCAATTTTATTAATATTATGGCCTCTTCGCGACGCGTTCGTGTTTCGCGCATCGTAAAATCTTACGCTTATTGCCGATGATGTTAGTCGGCAGTAATCAGCAACAAAAAGGAGTATTTCTCCTTTGTTGATTTCTAACATATGAAGCCAGAATGTTGGCCAGGAGCAACGAAAGGTGAGTTCAATCTGGCCAGAAGAAAGAAGAGTATCTAAGAGTATGCGAAGTAGGTTGGTGTGTAACACCAATTTAAGTTTTTAAAAGGAACATGTACACTAAGAAAAAAATTTGTTTAACAAACTAAACACATTTAGTTGTTTGCAAATTTAATTATTTTATCAAATTTTATTTAATCGAATTTAATTATAGTCTGCTTAATGAATTATAATCTGTTCAATATTAAATAGACTACTTAAATTCAATTAATAAAATTTGTTGAATTAACCAAATTTGCAAATAACTGTGTAATTAATTAAACAAATTTTTCTTCTCAGTGTATAAAGATAAATTGAATATTCGGGAGGGTAACTTGTTCGCAAATTGCGAGTTTTATATTTCTTTGAAATGTTGCTTATTTAAAATACAAAAATAACTAATAAACAACAGAATTAATGAGAGTATCCGCTAACGCGGATAATCAAGCGCAAATTTTGTTGTAGATTTTTTTTAATCTACAAAACTTGCATTTAATTATCCGTGTTGTCTCATTAGCCCTGTTTTTTGTTAATTTTTTTTTGTATTTTAAAAATTGAAAGCCTTTTTTAATAATTACTATTTATTACTTATTTATTATTATTATGATCGATTAGATCATCTCGCTGAATTTATCAGCATGCGATAGGAGATGATTAGGTACCCGAGAAAAAATCTTTTATAAAAATATTTTATAAAAGATTCTTTTATCTTTTATAAAATCTTTTATAAAAATATATATAAT